TGAGTTTTAAGCCAACTTTTGCACTCTCCTCCTTCACTCGCATCAAGAGGCTCTTTAGTTCTTCACTTTCTGCCATTAGGGTAGTATCATCTGCATATCTGAGGCTGTTGATATTTCTCCTGGCAATCTTAATTCCAACTGGTGATTCATCTAGCCCCACCTTTCTCATGATGTGCTCTGCATATAAGTTAAATAGGCAGGGCGACAGTATACAGCCTTGCCGAACTCCTTTCCCAATTTTGAACCAATCAGTGGTACCATGTCCAGTTCTCACTGTTGCTTCTTGACCCACATATAGGTTTCTCCAGAGACAAATAAGATGGTCTGGTACTCCCATCTCTTTAAGAACTTGCCACAATTTGTTGTGATCCATACAATCAAAGGCTTTAGCATAGTCGATGAAGCAGAAGTAGATGTTTTTCTGGAACTCCCTAGCTTTCTCCATGATCCAGCGTATGTTGGCAATTTGATCTCTAGTCCCTCTCCCTCTTCAAAATCCTGCCTGTACTTCTGGTAGTTCTTGGTCCACATACTGCTGGAGCCTAGCTTGTAGGATTTTGAGCATAACTTTGCTAGCATGTGAAATGAGTGCAATGGTACGGTAGTTTGAACATTCCTTGGCATTGCCCTTCTTTGGGATCGGAATGTAAACTGACCTTTCCCAATCCTGCGGCCACTGTTGAGTAAAGAGCTTAAATGTCAATCAATTTCTTTCTTCACTGAAAATCTTTCTTAGGACCAACCCAAGTTCCTAATTCTTACCCAGCTGTGGATCTGTATGCCACCCTTTGTTTTTGGTTGTTTCAATTACCAAAGTTACTGATCGCTGTGTTTCTTTTGAGATTAAGATATTGAAACTATCTTCAGAGTGGGTAAGGCAAATTGTAGCTCTGAGAACATTTATTAAGAAGCAAGACTCCAACCCTACATACACTTACCTGGGAGCAAACATGTTCAGAGCAAACCTGATGTAATCCTGGATGAGTTTCCTAACCCTCAGATCTCTTTGTACTCCCAGTTATTTCTCAAGCCCACATAATTTCCTGTACCTTCTCAGCCACCATTTTTTCACACAACAGATCTCTACAGCTACGACTACATACAAGGCTGGCCCAAGACATTTTGTTCCATGAGGCAGAGCAGAAAAGGGTGCCTTTCCTAATATCTCCAAAGTCGTTTCTGTCTCCAAGGCAAAAAATCCTGCAAAGTTACATAAAAGCAGCATCTTTCCAAGTATTTTTCTGTAGAGCAAACTTCTTATACCCCTATCCTCCCACCTATCCTATTCACCTTTTCTAGCATAGTGAAAATTTCTGATGCCAAGGAAGGCCACACACTCATCAGAATCTGGCCATGTGGATCATGCAAAAACAAACAAGGTCTGTACTAGAAAGGAGGAGGAGGAGGAGGTGCAGACACAAGCAAGCTAAGGCAAATCAGTTAATTTAATCCTCTCTGCAGGCAAACCCCAAGGCAAGGGGTCTGGGCCAGCTTGAAGAAAGTCTCTGGAACCTTGTATGTGAGCAACCAATACACCTGCTCCTTTTTTTGCCAGAGCATTGCTGTCTACAATGGCTCAGAACACGAGTGCCGTTGCCCATAGTAACTGGCTGGGCAGGTCTCTGCAGACAGGCATGCTCCAATAAAAATAGATGACAGTGGTGATTTGGTGATTTCAGACTGGGGAAGGCTATGTGGCAGCCTCCCTTCTCATTTAAAAGGACAGTTTCTTCATTTTACACCTCATCTTAATCTGCTAAGGAAGTGAGTCCTAAGTAGTTGCATAGTAACAGCAAAGGTGCTAAGCTCAGAGGGAGGAAGCAGACTTTTTTTTTAGGCAGATGCTGGCAATTGGCCAGTTCTAAAGGTCTGGGCCATGCCAAGATGCCTCGCTCCCAAAACTGCCCATGATAATATGGGCTTATTATGGTATCTTAAACCTTATTGTCCCAATACGATGTAAACAAACACCTGTTAGAGAAGGTAGACAAGTGAATGAGTTTATGGAAATAATGTATTTCTGAGATTTATATGCTACCATTGAGGGTAAGCTCAAGTTTCAGTAATCTATGCTCTAGTGATTTCTAAGTTACACTACTGCAGTGTACTTTACACGTGGCTGCCATCAAAGGCTGTTCAAATTTGCAGCTTGTGCAAAATGCAACAACCAGAATAATAACTGGGACTGGAAGGTTTATACATAAGACCACTTCTGGCCAGCTTGCACTGGATACATTTACACTTCCAAGCCTGATTCAAGCTGCTGGTTTTAACCTATAAAGTCTTACACAGCTTGGGACCACAATACCTGATAGAGGTGCCTCTCCCAACAAAAATCTACATAGACACTACACTCAGCATCCAAGGGCTTCCTCTAAGAGCTGCTTCCAAGGGCAGCCACAAAAGGAAAGGCCTTCTCAGTCAGAGTTAAGGTTAGGCTTAGGCAGAAGTGCTCAATTCCTACTTTGCCTCAGTCTTTTCCCACAAGAAGAGAGTTTTAACTATTTCACAGTCACATTTTGATTTTGATTTCGCTCCTGTTTTTGATTTTATTTTGTTTTCATTTGTGAAACATTATTGTTGGTTTTATGCACATTTTTAATTATTAATTGTTGCATTGTTTGATTTTTGTAAGCCCCCCAGGCACTTTTGCATATAGGACAAAGTATAAATATTTTAAATAAATAAATAAGAAGATCTACAATGAAGAGGAAATACAAGCTAAAAATGAGGGATGGCAGCCCGAGATTGACAGACAACTGATCAAGAAATATCTAGATGGAGTAAGCACATCCAAATCTCCAGAGCTCAATGAACTCCATTCCAGAGTCATAAAAGAGGTAGCAGAGGAACTCTCAGAACCACTATCTATTACCTTTGATAAATCATGGAAAACAGGAGAAGTGCCAGACAACTGAAGAAAACCTAACATTATCCCCACCTTGAAAAAAGAGAAAAAAGATGAACCTGGGAACTATAGACCAGTTAGCCTGACATCAATGCCTGGAAAAATCCTGGAGCAAATTATTTAAAAGTCATTCAGTAAGCCCCTCAAAGAAAATGTAGTGATTAATAAAAGTCAACCTGGATTTATCAAAAGTCAATCTTCTCAGACTAATTTAATCTCTTTTTTTGACTGGGTAACCTCCCAAATGAACAGCGGAAACACTGCAGACATATTCTACAATGAATTTAGTAGAATTTGTGACATAGTGCTCCACAGCAATATAAGCAAAATAGCAAACAGTAGACTAGATAGAAAATTATTAGGAGATTCCAAAATTGGCAGCTAAATTGGACACAAAGAGTGCTCATCAATGACACCTTCTCAAACTGGAGAAAGGTAACTAGTGGGGTGTCAAAGGGTTCAGTCCTAGGCCTAGTGCTCTTCAACATCTTTATTAATGATTTGGATGAAGAAGTAAAAGGAACAACAATCAAATTTGCAGATTATACAAAACTAGGTGGAATAGCAATCACCCTGGAAGACAGAATGAAGGTCCAAGGTGATGTTGATAAGCCTGAATGTTGGGCTGAAAGGAACCATGTGAGATTCGAAAGGGATAAAGGCCAAGTTCTCTACCTAGGAAAAAGAAACCAAATGTATCAATACAAGATACATGGTTCAACAGAACTGAAAAAGACCTTGGAGTTATTGTGGACAACAGGCTAAATATGAGCCAACAATGTGATGCAGCCACAAAAAGGGCAAATGCTATTTTGGGATGCATTAATAAAAGTATTATTTCCAAATCAAGGGTTCTCTATACTCTTCACTAATCAGACCTCATCTAGAATTCTGTGTCCAAATCTGGGCACTACGATTTAAGAAAGATGCAGAAAAACTAGTAGAGGTCCAGAGGAGAGCAACAAAAATGATCCAGGTTTTGGAAACAAAGCCCTGTGAGGAGACACTGAGAGAACTGGGTATGTTCAGCACTGAGAAGACTGAGCGGGGCCATGATATCACTTTATTAGTATCTCAAACGCTGTCACAAAGAGGAAGGACAAGATCTCTTCTCATTCATACCAGAGTGTAGGACACGGAATGATCAGTTCAAATGGCAACAACCCAGATTCAGGCTAGGTATCAGGAAAATTGCCCTTACCGTCAAAGCAATATGACAGTGGAACCAGCTGCCTAGAGAGGTGGTGGGCTGTGCCACACTAAAGACATTCAAAAAGAAACTGGACCGCCATCTCAGGGGGATAGTGCAAATTGGTGTCCTGCATCAGCAGGGGGTTGGATCCAATGTCCAATTCTACTTGGCCCCCTTCAACTCTACTATTCTATGATTCTATGACTGTAGAAAAATCTTCTAATTAAAGCCCACCTTGTGTCAACCATATTATCCTTTCAGCACTACATTAAGACAGCCCTCTATGCAAAGGCATTAAAAGTTGAGGCACCCAGGTCAGTTTTATGCTTTATTACATATTGTTTCAGTTGTGTTTTAAATTTCAAACTTTGCATTTTGGAAACGTTAGTGGTTTTATTGGTATGTTTTAGGCATTGCTGTAAACTGCCCAGAAAACTTCAACTACTGGGCAGTACAAAAATCATCTAAACGGTAGTCTCCCAAGGCAGCTTAAATCAAAACCACAATATATCAAATGAAAAACCACGCCAGAAAGCAGTGTGGTGAGGTGGTTGGAGTGCTGAAATGGGGATCTGGGGTGTCCAGTTTTGGTCCCCACTCAGCCTTTAAGCTCACCCGGTGGCCTTAGTTCAGTTACAGCTTCTCAGCCTAACTTGCCTCTCAGGAACGCTGTTGTGAGGATGAAATGCAGCTATGTAACCTGCTTTCGGTTCCTCACAAACGAAGAAAGATGGGATATAAATGTAAAAAACAGTAGTAAATTCAAAGGAATTCGGGGGCGGTGTACGTCCTTCGCCGCCTCCCCACCTTCCCTCCTTACAAACAACCCTGTGAGGTGGATTACTCTTAAAAACAAAAAGGGGAGGGAGACACCCGGACTCCTACGTGGGAGTAAGCCTGATGGAAACGCCAGGAAGCCTCCCTCCGCGGAAACGGTGCCCCGCGCGACGGCTGCAGGCTCGCCTCGGCCCGCCACGCCGGCAGCCCCAAGCCGAGCCCGCCGGGCTCTTCCCAGCTCATCGCCCCGGAGCGCCAGGAGGCGCCAGGGGGAGGTGCGACCGGGACTACGTTCGCCTTCAGCCATTTCCCGGATGTGGGCCTCCGCCTCGGCCCGGTAGGCGGTGTGCTCGGCGTTGTGGTTCCGGGTTCCCGGAGAATCCGCGGGCGGCCACGGCGCCTGCCGCTTGCGACCTGTCCTCTTTGTGGCCTCCGCCGGTGAGCAGCGTCCTGAGCAGGCCGGAAGAGCAGCGGCCGGCGAGGCGGTGTCGCGTCGCTCCCGGCCTAGCTGCGCAGCGCCTGGTTCTTGAGGCGCTTGATACAGATACGGTAAATCCCTCCTTACTAGCAGAATTTCGTAGTTGCTACTACTTTACTACCCTTGCCGACTTCCTGTTGGGAACGAGTTTTAGAGAAGTAGCCGCCTTCACGGACTTCCCGTGCAAAACGAGGCGTTAATCCTGAAGCAACTAGACGGCCTCGCCGCTTATAGGGTGATACTCAATGTTAGGTCCAATTAGAGTAGACCTGGTGAAATAAATAGGACTTAAGTTCGACTTGCATGGGGTGCAACGCCTACTTCCACTTAGCCTGTCGTGGGCGGGAAGGTTTTATCCTTGTAGACACTAGCTGGTGGCTACGGACAGCCGCCGCCGGCCGCCCCCGCCCCCGCCCCCATCTCGCTGCTGCTGTGCTGGGGATAAGCCTGCCTTCACTTCGTGGGGGGAAATCAAGCAAAATGAGCTCGTTCTGCCGCGACAATTCAGTGCAGCATGTGGTGTGCTGAATAGTTTTCTCCTCTTACATGCACTCGACCTTTAGCATAGAAATGTCAACAACAATTCATCATGAGTTAGTTTCTCTAAACTTCTTTATTATAGATAGATAGATAGATAGATAGATAGATAGAGTTGAACAGGTGCATAACCTTGTCTTTATTTTTTGTTCTCCTGTCCTTTGTGTCCCATATTCATTCCATTGTTAAATTGTTGACTGCACATAATGTGGCAAATCTTTAAGCAATTGATCAACAATTTGCCAAGGTTGTTTGCTTCCACAATTCTGAAATACATGCTCCATTCAGCTTTACTGGAGATTGTTCTATGGGTTTTGAACTCAAGTGATGGGCTGATTCACCTGACACAGCTGGCTTATTGAGGGTTCTTTAACCTACAATGAATTGCAGGGCTAGCTACATGTAACTGTCATTTTAAATATGCACCCCTCATTGGTGGTTGCAGTATGTTTTAAGAGCCTGGCCATTAGAGTTATTCAAGGTTAAACAACCTTACATAATCACTTATTAGTACCAGGATTGTGCAAGTGTTGTTTAACCCTCAACTCATGATAGCTGGTTTACATAAGACGTGAATTCTCTCCCAGTAGGACATAGTCAAAACAGTGGCTAAACATACTCAACATGCTCCATGGCTCAATATGGGTTAACCCATGCTGACCCAACCATGTAATGAAACCAGATTAATTATGGCTACAGTTATGCCTGGTTTATTTATTTATTTCATTTTACTACTGCCCAGACAGTCAAGACTGTCTGGGCAGTTAACAAAAGTTCTCACTTAGCAACCTATAATATTGAATATTTGGGTATTAAATGAGTGGGAACTTGATGGCCTGGGAGATTCTTTCTGACTTACTAAGTTTCTATGAGTATGGGTTGTTGAATCATGGGTTGCAAATCTTCTGGTGTGATTTAAAAATGGGTTGTTAACTGTGAACAATCCTTGAAGACAATCCATAGTTTGTTGATGGGTTGTAAACTCTGGGTATTTCATAGGTAACAGCCAAATAATAAACTAGGGTTTGCACATAATGGCAACTCTGATTCAACAACAGCCCGCAAATTAATGACAGCACATACTTAGCCCAAATAATCTGGGTTGTTATATGTGAACAAGGTTCTTAATACTCAGCTTAACTGTGAGTTGTTTAACCCACAATTAATCAATTGTCTTGGTTTATAGTTAACAAACCATGATTTAATTAACCATGTTTTGCTTAATTTTGGGTTTGTGGTATGTGTGAATTTGGAGCTATCCATGGCTTTGTAACTTCACACAATCCATAAAGATAATCTATGGTTTGTAGTGTTTTGGACCAGGGACCATTATGTGCAAACCCAGAATCTTGGGTTGTTTATAGGTTGTTTCACCAAAATGCACAAATAACAGGCAAGAGTGCTCATAAAACCCAGCCTCTTCATCATATGCCATTGCTGCAATGCCGCAAAGGCAGCTGGAATACAGGGAAGGAGTAGGGAAACAAGCATTCTATTACTAATCCTATGTATTTATACCTGAAACAAAGCCCACATGCTTTCTCTGTTTACCTCTGCTTCCTCCATTATTTCTCTTGTACTGAATTTTAGATTATAGGTTCCTCAGGGCAGGAACATGGTTTCTTGTTCTCTGGAAATTATAATGCATATTGACTTTATTTAATTCACAGCTTGCTGTCAACTAACAATAACATTTCCTGGATCCAATGAAATTGCCCATAGTCTGTGAAAACTTTTTCCTAAGGAATTAACATAAGACATTGCATTCATTTTGTGTTTGCTGTAATAAATTAACACTGCTACGTTTTTAAAAGTAGGCAGAATGATTCACATAACCAAGCTACCATGGCTAACAGACAAGAGAGTTCATCTTGGGATAGTTTGGTCATCTGTACACGCTTGAAAAGTATGATTGAAGTGTGTCTATTAAGGTGCAACACTTACGTGACTTACTGAAGTATCTACTGAGTTACAAAAGAGTCAGTAACATGTAGCACAGATGTTCAGATATTACTCACTTAGAGCATTTTAACACAACTTCTAACTGTTCTTTAAGAGAAGGGGAGGATTTCTAAGTGCCTAATGCAATAGAAAAACTTTTCAGGAACCTTTTCTGGCTTGCTGGTGCATGCTTTTAGTACAGTACCAGGGGTGGGCAGTGGGGAATATATTCCTTAAATGTGAGGAAGGTTGCATGACCAATATTACAGCATATACTTATTCCTTCTCTAGAGGGATCTATAGCATGGTTTAGGCTTACAGGGTCTACTCTACTTTATTTTTAATAGAACTATACCATCCACCAAATGAAGCCTGGTGCAAAGGATTGACACTTAAAGGGAAGCCCAGGAATAGTTCTGAGTATCAGAACTGAAATGGAATTCATTGAAAAATCCACACCTGGTTACCACTAGCTTTCTTCCCTTAATGGGAGAGGGGGAGTCATTTTGTTGGCTGAATTTTCTAAACAATTATGAGTCAGAAATCCTCACCTGCCTACCATAAATCAGAGAATTAGTAAAGTCTAGATTCAGGTTTACAATCTGCCTATGTCCTGTCTTCATTTCACTCAAAGGAACAAAGTCTAGAGGCAAGAACTTCAAACAAGTTACATTGTTGAAGGATCAGTGATGTAGTCATGAAGATCATTCATTCTTTACTCCAAAATATTACTTTAAAAGTAGCCTCCATTTTGCGCTTTGGCTGTTTACTTTTGAATAACATACAGTCTATATTACTGACTGTGGTGTATCAAATCCAGAATTAGAATCCATTTCAGTTGTTTATATTCAAGAACCCTGACAAGGTTGGTCTTTCCTATTAATATAAGTATTAGAACTGGGTAATGAAAATACGCCATCTCAACTATCCAGGCAGCTTCCATTTGCTTATAGAAAATACTTTCGTGTTGTGTGTGTGGTGTGTGTGTGTGTGTGAGAGAGAGAGAGAGAGAGAGAGAGAGAGATAAATATATCTGTATGTTTCATAGATATGGATAACAGACATGAAGAAAAAGATGGGTCACTATGTGCAACATCACAAGAGAAGACAAAAGCCAGAGGTAGGTAGGTGTTTGGCTATGACAGTAGCTTTTTATAGAGCACATTACTGGAGTGCTGCACTCTGTATATAAGTAGCATATCATTGGATGCAATGCAAGCCAAGGACAGCTTTGCATGGCACTGTTTGCTGTGTCTGAATGAGTCGAACCTTTTTCCAAATGGTTCAGCACCTGTCCAGATCACAGGTTCACACCTCACCACACAACACATCTAGGTTCAGTCTGCTCTGTGAAGTTTTTTGAGGGCTGTGTGAACTTGTGGCAGAAGTATTAATCAGACTTAAGCTCAGGGTAACTAACAAGTATTGTTTAAGAAGTAATAGAGAATTATGAAAATGTAAATGTAAAGCAAGAACCCTCTAATACACAAAAATAAAAAAAACCTAACCAGTCTTCTAATGTTTTGTTTTGTTTTTTCCTTTAAGAGAGAGAGAAGAGGAAGCGAAAACGTAGCAGAAGCCGGTCATCCTCCATTTCTTCCACTACATCATCTAGTTCATCCTCCTCTTCAAGTTCTTCTTCAGGATCCTCTGCTTCACGTAGCAGAAGCAGTTCCACTAGCGCAGGTAAAAATACTTTAATTGTAGAAAATCATTGACAAAATCAATTGTAGAAAATTAATTGACAAAATCATTTTGAATGATGGTTGCATATACTTATATCAATTCAGCAAATACTGAGAATTTCAGAGACCAAATCAAGTGTAAATGGATACCCAAAATGTTAGGCATCTACTTGTGCATTGTTTTATGATCTGCACTATTGTGAGAAGCACAGCAGAGATGCTATATGGAATTCTTCCGATGTTGAAACTGAAGGTAAAAAGAATACATGTAAAGAGCAATCACAAAGAATTGACCCATATTGGTCAATTTTAGATTGTAGGTTCTTCGGGGCAGGAACATGGTTTCTTGTTCTCTGGAAAGTATTGTGCATATTGACAGCGCCTTGTGAATTAAATAAGATAAACATGAGATACACATGCATCCTAGCATCTTCAGATTACCAATTAACAAATTATCAAATTTAAGCTGAAGATCAGAAAGTTTACCTTAAAACTATTAGCAAGATGAAAATCTAGATTGTTAATTGTTGAACAGCTGTGGGACTAGAGGAGCCTCACTGGGTTCATGACAAAGAATCAGATTTGGAAAGGAGACTTTGATTGGAAGTCATCCAAAGGAAAGATAAGTATGATGGTTACAATGATGCTTAAAAAGTACTTGGTTTTGGGTTAAATGGATATCTTTGCTCTGAAGTAAACTGAGGTTGCTATAGCTCTCTGTTTAAAGATTTTAGCTGCCCAGTTGAACTTTCTGAGCATTTTCCTCTCAGCAGTTACTCTCATCAATGCCCTTTTATTGTTTCTAAACTTAATAAATTTATACAGAAGTTTGTAGATTTGACACAAGAGTTATTTGAAAGAAAACTTGGCTTAGGCACTCGCTTTCCTTGAATTTCCATTTAAAGCTTAACTGACACTGTTTGTTCATTTGTTTGTTTGTTTATGCACATATTTAAATGCCACCTATAACTTCCTAGGGGGATTACAAACAAGCTGTTGAGATGAGATGATGAGGGGGAAGGTTTACTGGAGAAAACCATCATACTAGGGAAAATCAAATACAGAAGAAGAAAGATCACATGGTGTTGCGGTGGAACAACTCAGTAAAGAAAACCGCAGCCTTGAGTTTTAACAGAACTGAGCAGGACTGTCTAGGGCAGGACATTTTGGCAGACATTCATTCATAGGGTCGCCATAAATTGGAGATGATGTAATAGCACATAAAAACAACAAAAAAATTAAAAGCTTGTTTTTCTGAAAACAATATTTTTAAAATTCATTAATTAAATGAGGCCTAATTAAAATGATGAACTTTTATTCAGAATTGAAACCTGAATTTTTATTCTGAGATAATGCCACTTTCAGCTTGGGATCATCTACCATGCAGATAATAGCAAAATTGCTATTAAGAGTGAATGTCATCCAGTTCTAGTCTAGATACTCCTCAGAGAGGCTGCCTTTGTGATGAAGAGCTAGCGCATGATCCCCAGCCCCACTGTACACACACTGGAACTGCAGATAACATGAGTTCTCCATGCAAAGCTTCGTATGTCCCGTGGTCAGATCTAGCAAACATGCCCAATTCTTCCTTTTAAAAAAGAGAGGGAGAATGGGAAAATTCATGCAAATTTGACATATGACCCAGAACAACATTATGTGTCTGTACGTGGTGTAAAGGAGAAGCGTGCAGGCAGTGTCCAGTATTGGCAGTTTGCGAGCTCTGAACTTGCTGCACAAGTGGGAATGAGCACCAGAACAATGGGATACTAACACTTGCTAGCATGGTCAGGAAACTGCCAGCCCTGAAATGGGGCAAGTTGGTGGAGCTTCTTTTTGCAAAGTCTGCAGACTTGTCCTACTCGAGAGCAGTTTCTGGTTGTGCTAGCAAGTGCTGCTTTTTGGTGATCACTCCCACTAGCATAGCTGCAATATTTCATATTGCCCATTATGTTCACCACCACACAAAGGCTGTTGATGTGACACTGCAGTTAATGTCTGAATTTGTCCACAGTAACTTCTGAATAGTGGAAGATAGTAAGTAGGAAAACCATTTTTTACAGCCATGTTTGTATGTCTGAGGGGAATGTTAATGTCTCAAGCATAACGACCCTCAGGTAATAACTTCTGGATTTTTTACTTCAATACTTATTCTTCTTTTGTTCATCTCATTGTTCAAAGCATAACATACTGTCATTTTTAATAGATTCTCCCAAATCAAAATCAAAGAAGAGGAAAAAGGAAAAACATAACAAAAAGGTAAAACTAAGATTAATCAAATGAAGAGCAGAGTACATTTAGTCTGTACTCACTGTAGAGTAAAAAAGGATGCATGTGCTTAGTTCAGCCTGCCATATAATTTCTGAAAACACATTGTTTTGCAGTTTTTAGTATCACTGTGGATTCAGCAGGAAATGATTTGCACTCAACCAGTATAATGCTGTGGTGCTCTGACCAACTTCCTCTTAACAGCTTTCATTTGTAAGAGACATATGACAACTTCCCACAGAATATCCCACCCACCTTTTTTTCTCTTAACTTCCCCTGACAATTAGCATGAACTACTGGTGTCATATGACAGCTGCTTGTCTTTCAGCTGACTTGGTAATTAACTGGTGAACTCCAGATCCATGGAAATGTATCTCTTCTTATTCATTTAACTCACCAGGCATGTGACTAAAGACCATATAGCAGTGATGTTCATATGATGGGTAGTTTTCCTACTGAGGGAAATCACAAGGCCAAGAAGGCCAATCGGGAGTTGATGCATCATGAGAGGACAAGGGTTTGTTTACAGGTAACAGTAACATGCACAAGCATCTGCCCTGGGACACGCCCATCTCACCGGCTCCAGTATGCGACCCATGCTCTGCATACTGTAGGTTGTGCAGCATGATGTGTAAACATGAACTGCGAATTTAGAAGC